CATACTGGAAGTACTTCCAGTGCCATCAGAAATTCCATATGCTGGTTATAGTTGTTAGCCATTGAGGAAAATTTAACAAAGACATTTGGCTACTTTATAAAGGTGATAATTGAATGCATATTTGACTCTCTACAGTTAAAGACCTAGAGTTACAAACCAAAAGGGGAAAATACATTAAGCATTCATCAACTGGAAGAAATGTAGGGGGGAGGGGAATCCAGCCCCTAGTTGTAATATTAAAGGATTCTGTGGGCAAAAAATTGAATAACATAGGATGTATCAAATGAAGAGGCACTGTATTAAAATGAACTAGCAGACACTGAATTATTTCAGAAAGTAGCATATGATCAAAACCCAATGGTCTTGACAGAAGAAGGCAAACCTACACTGAAGGCATTCACCAAAAAAGATGAAGATACAAGGGTTGATGGAATATTACTTGAGGTAATTATAAAAACAGATGCAGACAAACTGATGTGCAGGGAGCACCATGTATGAAGTGACATGCATGGAGCACTGTGCACAGAGCAACATACACAGAGCAAGCAAGGCAACTGGAATTTGACTGAGAACTATTATTAAAACAATTAATTTGGGAGCCATGGGAGCAGCAAGACATGGTGGCAGGGAGCACCAAGCCACTGTGATCGTGAGTGGCAAGCCACAGCATCACTCACCAGGAGCAAGCAGGACAGTGGAAATTTGAGTAAAGTACTTATGGCGGGGGGATTACTGCTGATTGCTGGACCACGTGGGACCCCTTCACCTCAAGCAGGAGAAAGTGAGACAGCTGGAGTGCAATTGGAGTGACAGATCCAGTTCTCAAGGGGAAAACCAAGGCTTCCTGGTTTTCCATTCAGGTCCCCACACACGCTATCCCCTGTCTCACGTGTGTCTGCATGTGCACTTCCCTGACCTTCCCCCACATAGGTCTGTGAATGCACCCATCCTATATGCATCTGCACGTGCACCTGCCCAACCCTCTTCTGGAGCACTGACTTCAGATCAAGAACCAGCTATTGCCTCAGACATGAAAAACTCTATCACAGCAATGCCATGTAAGAAGAAGGCTACCTCACACCCTACACAAGCCCAAACCAAGATGTCACCCCCCAAAAGTGACACACTTTCAATGGATTTTCTGAATCAAGAAAGTCTGATGGAACTTTCTGACACAGAATTTAAAACAACAATGATTGCATGTTTTCAATGGGTGAAAGGCAAATTGAAGAATTACAGGACACTGCAAGCAAAAACCAAGAGGAGCTTTGAAAAACAATCCAAAACAATACAGATAAAACAAATGAGGCATTAGAGGCTCTGGGGAAAAAAAGAAACTACAATCCAAAATATGAGGTACAATGTTTCAGATGCTGTCATCATGATAGAGGGACACATGAATAGAGGTGAAGAGCTGGAGCACAGAACCAGTGAAATAGAAGGTACAATTGTCACCACTGATCTGACAGAACAAAAAGCAGAATCAAAAAGGAAGGGGGGGAAGGGAAAATACAAAAATAATGTGGGACACTATCAAGAGAAATAACATGTGCATAATAGGAATCACAGAATAGGAAGAAGCAAGTAAAGACATCAGAAAGTTGTGGAAGAATTACTAAAAGAAAATTTTCCAGGCATAATGAAGAATGAGAGAATATTCAAGAAGCGGAGTGAACACTATATAGAATACACCCCAAAAGAGAAACACCAAGGTATATCATTGGAAAATTTGTCAGAACCAAAGATAAGGAGAGAATTCTGAAAGCAGCAAGGGAGAAATAAAGAATAACCTAAGTGTCGATTTCTTAGCAGAAACCATATGAGCAAGTAGACAGTGGAATGACATATATCAAACACTCAAAAAACAAAACTGTCAACCAAGAATACTGTACTCAGAAAAATTGTCCATCGAATATGAAGGAAAAAAAATCAAGATATTCCCAGAAAAACAGGACTTAAAGGAGTTTGTAAAAACAAAACCAGCATTACAGTAAACACTGAGAGAAGTCATTCTTACAGAAGTGCCACAGAAAGCAGGTTGGACCAAAGTAACTTGCAACAACACCAAAAATAACCCAACAAAATGATAGTAATAAAACCTTGCCTCTCAAGCATCACACTGAATAGAAATGGTTTAAATGCACCACTGAAGAGAAAAAGAGTAGCAGATTGGATAAAAACCCAAATTCCATGAGTATGCTGTCCACAAGAGATACATCTGAAAAATGAAGATAAAGAAATACTAAAAGTAAAAGGTGGGGGAAAAATATACAAAGCAAATGGCAACAAGAAAAAAAACCAGGAGTAGTGATACTAATCTCCGATAAAATAAATTTTAATGCAAAAACCATCATGAAGGACAAGGAAGGTCACTACATAATGCTTAAGGGTCAATAGAATAGGAAGACATGACAATAATAAATATCTATGCACCAAATGAAATACCGGCAAAATATATAAAAGAAACATTAACAAAACTGAAAAAGGAAATAGATAACACCACTATAACCATTTGAGACTCTAATACACCACTCTCAAGAAAAGATAGATCTACCAGAAAGAAACTCAACAAAATGCTGAAAAATTAAACCACACAATAAACAAACTTGATTTCATAGATATTTATAGACAAATGCACCCCCAAAAAAGCACAGTATACCTTATTCTCCAATGTGCACGGAATGTTCTCCAGAATAGATTACATTTTAGGTAAGGCAAGCATTAATAAATTTAAAAAAAACCATAGAAATAATACAAAGTATGTTCTCAGACCACAATGCAATAAAATAAAAAAGAAATTAATAACAACAGGATAAAGGAGTGAAAACCATTCATTTGGAAGCTGAACAACATCTTGCTTGAACATTACTGGGTACTAGAAGAAATAAAAAATGAAATTAAAAGGTTCCTTGGAACAAATAACAATAAAAACACAACTTACCAAAACCTCTAGGAAATAGCCAAAGCAGTAATCACAGGTCAGTGTATAGCAATACACATCAAAAGGCAGGGGAAAATGACCAATAATTCTCTAACCCAAAATTTCCAACAAACAAAATTGCTTTGGAAAATGTGCAACCAAGATGCTCTTTGGTCTCACATACTTTGGACATGTGACCAGGAGGGGTCGGTCTTTGGAAAAGGACATCATGGTTGGGACAATACAGGGTCATGGAAGGAAAGGAAGACTGTCAACAAGATTGTTGAAACAGTGACTACACAATGGCCTGAAGTCCAGTGGAGACTGTGAGCATGTGCAGGATTGGCAGTTTAAATCTGTTCAACATAGAGTCACTATGAGTCAGAGTCTACTCAGTAAAAAGTAACAACAGCAAATCTATGCCCCTCTAGTTAAAAAAAAAAAGCTACAACACCTTCCTTCCTTATATAATATTTCACCAACACTGATCTACTTAAACACTAAATAGCTAAAAGAAAAACAGGAAGGTTGATTATTGGACAATCTACAAATTGAGTAATCCAACATGAAAAGAATATAGTATTTTTCCCATATTGTGCCGAAATGGTGGTGGGTTGTAAAAGCTAATCAGATCAGCCAGAGACATGCATGAAAAATTTTATTGCAATGACTAGTCTAAATGTGTCTCATTGGCTAACAGTGGGCCTCCCTAATTAGAATTATAGATGCAAAGCATTCAGCTTTCAACAGTTTTATTTTCAGTAATTCAGATCTTCTTATACAGAGCTTCTGTATATATATATATATTCAGTTTCAGGTTATCCATGTTACTCCTGTTTGGAGTGTGTGTTTTAAATATACAGCTGAAAAGGGTACTGATTATGAGGCTAACAAAGAAACTAAATCACTAATAACCAACCAAGAGACTTTTTTGTTTTTTTCTTTCTTTAGGGGGCCGAGGAAAAAGGAGGGTGGAGGGTATGGAGAGTATCACAGGACTGGTATATTTATGCCTGAGAGCTGAAATCCAACCGTTTAGTTTATATATTAAATGATCCACAGTTGAGGGCTTTGACCAAATTTTTTTAATGTCTCCAAACCTTTCATTTGGCATAGTATACATATGACTAATCTGACATCTAGGTTTTGGCACTGACGTTGATCTGGTATTATCATTCCCCTTACAAACAAATCAAAGAACATTCAGAAATGTCAAGCCAATTTGGATAGATCCTTTGGGCAAGTATATGCACATAAATGAGTGTCACAAGTGGTTTCTAAGCATAGTTAAATAATGCCAGAGAAGTCAACTAAAGCTCTCTATCAACCCGTTCCCTGAGTCTATATTGGCAGTACTGGGATGGACAGGCCATGATCCTGACTCAGTATGAAAAAGTCAATGTTCCTTTGAATGTCAAAGAGATTTTTACCTGGCCATTTCATTCCTCTTTGTCATGAAGGTCCAGTTCTCAGTAATGGTAGTGGTTGCTATTGTTGTTAGGTGATGTCAAGTCACCTATAACTCATCATCATAATTTCCACCATACTTAAGCCTATTATTGAAGACACTGTGCCTGTCCATTTCATTGAGAGTTTTCCTATCTTTTGCTGACTTTCTACCTTTCCCAGTGTGATGTCATTTTTCTAAGTACTGGCCCTTTCTTTTAGCATGCCCAAAGTATATGAGACACAGCATCAGCATTCTTTCCTCTAATACTGAATTCCGTTTATGTTAGATCATTGTTCTTGTAGAACTATAGATTCCACTATCACATAGACTTTAATCAAATTTGTATGCTCCTTTGTGATTTGTTGACTGTTCCAGTGGCAGTCTAAGCTAAGGTAGAGCTTCGCTATGGAAAAATATTCTTGTTAAAGGACCATTCCAGTGTTCATTGGTGGTTATCAGCGATGGATGGTGGTGGGGTGTTTGTAAGGGGGAGGGGATCAAAGAATGTTTTTGTTGGTTTTCCACTTTTCATAAATGTATGGTGCTAAGAACAATGAGGTATATAAATTAATGAGTTCATGTCTGTTTTTGGAAAACAATGACAAAATTCTACCTACTTTCTGATTCCAGAAGAACTTCCAAGCCAAACTTTTGACAGCAAAGGCTACTTTTGTGGAGAAGAAACAATGCCTGTGTATGAGTCTGTGTTCATGGAGGATGGAGAGACCACAAGAAAAATAGCACTGGAGACCGAGAGACCACCTCAGGTTGAGGTTCATGTTTGGACCATCCGAAAAGGTGAGCAGTTAGGGGGCACAGGGAAGGAGGGAAATACTTTAAATTTGCTTCAGCTTCTTCCTGATTGAAAAAAAAAACATTTCTTGACTGCTCAGATACTAGCACATGTCTAACACAGCTCTAACTATCTCACTCACTTTCTCTGCCGTTGAGTCTAAACTGACTCATAACTGACCTTCCAGCCAGTTATCAGAGGCTGTAAATCTCACAGGAGGCAATTGTCCATAATTCGCCCTCAGAAGAGCTGGTGGATTTGAACTGCCTGCCTTTCAGTTGGCAGCACAGCTCTTTACCTACTAGACCATCAGAGCTCCACTTATTATTATGGCCTTTAAATTTAACCAGGGCTATTGCTTTAAAAGGAACTATTGGCGCTTGTAATTGGGTGTATTTCTCATGCCATCAAATACTAGAACAGTGATTCTCTACTGTGGCTGTGTGCCAGAATCCTCTGAGAAAGCTGAGGGAGGAGGGAGTGGAAATTCAATGCCTACATCCTACTTCAGAGCCTGGACATCAGTATTATTTTGTTTCCTTAAAGGTTATGGGATATTTTAATGTGTAGACAGGGTTGAGAACTACCTGAATGCAACTGACCATCTTTTCCAATAAAAAGCTCAAGAAACATGAAAACCCATTCACTCAGTATGATCCTAAATCTCCAGAATCATGGTGAGTACTCTGGAGTAAGACATCATCCATGACCCTAGGGAGGAAAATAGTTTCACTGGAGAAACAATCCAAGACATGATGATATCTAGTTCCTTTACTGACTACTCACATCGACAACATAGGAAGCTATATCCTGTCCACTATGACCTTGCAGCAAATAGCCTAGTGATAAGAAACTGCACTGCAATCTCAAAGCCAGTGGTTCAAATTCATCAGCTGCTCCACACAAAAGGATAGGCAATCTCCTCCCATGCTTTTTAGTGTCTCTGCAAACCCACTGCAACCCTGCTTGCTGAAACTGAGAAGGACCTGAAGCGTTGCTGCAGAGGGTCAAGGACTGCAGCCTCCAATATGGATTGAGGCTCAATGTCAAGAAGACAAAGATTCTCACCACTGGACCAACTGACAGCATCAGGATGGATGGTGAAGAGATTGAGATTGTTCACAGCTTCAGTTTGCTTGGCTCCACAGTCAACACTTTGGCACCAGCAGCCAGGAAATTAGAAGACATATTGCCATGGGAAAGTCTGCTGTTAGGGACCTCTCCAAAGTACTGAAGAAAAATGGTGTCTCTTTGGAGACTAAGGTGTATCTGATACAGGCCATGGTCTTTGCTATCACTTGTTATACATCAGAGAGTTGGACAATGTCTAAGGAGGATAGAAGGAGAATTGATGCCTTTGAGCTGTGGTGCTGAAGAAGAGTACTGAGGGTACCATGGACTGCTAGGAATACAAATAGATTCATCCTGGAAAGGGTTAAACTGGGCTGCTCCTTGGAGGCAAGGATTCTAAGGCTCCATGTAACATACTTAGGACATGTTGCAAGGAGGGACAGGTCCTTGGAGAGGGACATCATCCTTGGTAGGGTGGAGGGACAGCACAAAAGGGGAAGGCCCCCTAAGAGGTGTATTGATTCAGTGACTGGGGAAATTGGGATGAGTGTGTCGGAGACGGTGCAATTGACACAGGACAGACAGAGCAGAGTTAGGGTCGTTATGAGTCACAAGCGACTCGATGGCACATAACAACAACAGCAAACCCACTGCAGGGTCAGCCATGAGTTGGTTCCAACTTGACAGCACACAACGATAACACGCGTACTAGTCTGTATTTAGTAATGTTTTATAGGAATCTAACAGGTGATATTTCATTTGGAAAATAATACTTATATATTTCTCTTCTACTGGCTCCAACATAAAGCTCTACAGTGTTTACTCTTCAGTGGGCACCAGAAGCATGCAAGGCATAGATTTGAAATAGAGATTCTTATGACATAGTCCATAATTGGCTATGTTAACCACCCAAATGCCTTGCCTATCTGGAAGCTCAAATCCACCAGCTGCTCTGTGAGAGAAAGTTAAGCAATCTCCTCCTGTGTGATTTACATCAAAAGTCCACAAGAGGGTCAACTATGAGTTAGTTCTAATTCAATGGCAGTGATTTTGAGCTTTAAGGGAATTCTGGTGGTGCTGATTTCTTGACTGCTCTACCATGGGCATTGATTGTGGGTCCACATACAATAGATCCACTGCAGTTAAGAAATAAAAAGACATATTGCACTGGGGAAATCTGCTGTCAAGGACCTCTGAAAAGTGCTTAAGAGCAAAGATGTGAGTTTAAAGACATCTTACCCAAGCCTTGGTATTTTCAATTGCTTCTTATGTATCTGAAAGTTAAACAACTAATAAAGAAGATTGAAGAAGAATCTGTGTCTTTGAATTGTTGTGGTGGAGAAGAGTACTGAATATTCCATGGACTGCCAAAAGAACAAACATATTTGTCTTGAAGGAGGTTCAACCAGGTGCTCCTTAGAGGCAAGGCTTGTGAAATTCCATCTCACAGACTTTGGGCATGTTATCAGGTGAAGCCAGTCCTATGAGAAGGCCATTATGCTGGAAAAGGTAGAGAGTCAGTGAAAGACAGAAGGAGTCTCAATGAGATGGATTGATGAGGTGACTACCACATAGGTTTGAGCATGACAGAGATCATGAGATGGTACAGATCTGTTGTTCATAGGGTCATTATGAGTTATAGTCGACTTGAAGACATCTAGCAAAAATACAAAAACTGGTGGTGTAGTCTGTAGGTAGTTATGCTACAAACCCAAAAGTCATAATTCTCTGGCAGCTCCAAGGGAGAAAGATGGGCCATTTCCGCTAATGTGATTTATAGCCTCAGAAACCTACTAGTGAGTAACTGTGAATCAACATTAATGAGAGAGAGAGGACAAAAAAACCTTACTATTTACAAGCTCTGGTAAGTTAAGTGTTTAACTGTGAGTCAGAACCAATTTGAAAGCAATAAATTAGAGGCTTTTTATGATACATATATGCAATTTTTACATCACTAAAAATTATCAAGATTTTGTGAAATACTGCACAATACAGGTGAATTTAGAACAGATTATCCTTAGTGAAATAAGTCAGTCACAGAAGGACAATTATAGAATAAAACCACTATTATAAAAATTCAAGGAAATGTTCACATACAGAATCAATCTTGGAGAGTTAACAATGATGAGAAGTGAGGGAAACAGGGGTAAAATTGATAAGGAGATAAGTTGAGTGAAGGGAAAAGCAGTAAGGGTCTAATTAGATTTTATAATAAATACATTTCTAGGTATTGACAAGATGAGATGGACGGGCATGGGACATTTTGAATCAGATGATCATATGATAATGAAAATATGAGATGAAAAGGTGAGGAAAAATAGCGTTGTTTTCATAGTTAATAAGTCATTTCTAGATGTGTCTTGAAATACAAGATTGTGCGTGACAGGATACTATCCATACGCATACAAGGAAGTCCAATGAATACCACTAATATTCAAATATATGCACCAACAACCAGAGACAAAGAAGAGGAAATAAAAGATTTCTACCAACTTTTGCAGAGATCAATTGAACATCCAATCAAGAAGCATTAATAATACTGGGTGACTGGAATGCAAAAGGTGGGAACAGAGAAGAAGGATGGGTAGTTGGAAAGCATGGATTTGGTGACAGAAATGAAGCAGGAGATAGAATGATAGAATTTTGCACAATCAACAAGTGATTCATTGTAAACACATTTTATAAGAAACATAAACACAGGTTATGTACATGGATTTCATCTGATGGTATGCATAGGAATCATATAGATTACATCTGTGGAAAGAACCACTGGAGAAGCTTAATATCAGCTGTGAAAACTAGGCTAGGTGCTGACTGTGGAATAGACCACCAACTACTCATATGCAAGTTCAAGCGAAAGCTAAGGACAGTGAAATAAAAGCCATGGGAACCAAAATATGACCTGAATCTATCCCACCTGAATTTCAAAACAATCTCAGGAACAGGTTTGAGGCCTTGAACACCAACGAGCAAAGACCGGAGAGTATATCAAAAATATCATCCAGGAAGACTGCAAAAGGTGGTAACAAAGACAGAAGGGGGGAAAAAAGACCGAAATGGATATAAGAAGAGACTGAATATTGCACTAGAGGGTTATGAAGCCAAAGCAAAGGGAAGAAACCAAGACATTAAGGAGCTGAACAGAAGATTTCAAAAGGCAGTATGGGAAGACAAATTAAAGTATTATTATAATGAAATATGCAAAGAGCTGGAGTCAGAAAATCAAAGGGGCCAAACTCGCTCAGCATTTCTTAAGTTCAAGGAACTGAAGAAGAAACTCAAGCCTCGAGTTACAATACTTAAGGATGCTTTGGGCAGAATATTAAATGATCCTGGAAGTATTAAAAGAAGATGGAAACAGTATACAGTCATTATACCAAAAAGGAATTGGCAGACACAGAAGAATTTCATGAAATAACACATGAGCAAAAGCCTGTGGTGATGAAGGATGAAGTCCAAACAACTTTAAAAGAATTGGCAAAAAATGAGGCCCCAGGATAATCTTCAGTAAAATCTTGCTTGCATGTGAAATCAGTGAGATTGTTCTATAGTTTCCACACTCTGCTGGGTCACCTTTCTTTGGGATGGGAACAAATATAGATCTCTTCCAGTGAGTTGGCCAAGTG